TTGCCAGTGCCGCGCGCGCTCTGTGCGCGGCATCATTTTCAGGGCACGGTTCCGCCTGCTGGCCCACCTGCGCGATTCCAGGCGGCCCAACTGTTGGCGCGCCATCCCCGCTGATCCTGCGACGCATCCGCTACTCTTGTCCAAGACCGTGGAGGGGCTCGACGCGCGAGATAACGAATTACGAAAGGCCGCCCAGAGAGTTGTTGGTCACAGCCACCACCTCGCCCAAGGCTCTCCTGCACGCGCCAATGGCTCCTATATTTTCCGTGCACGGTCGTGACGCTTGGGGCCAGGGGTCGCCTTTGTGCCTCCAAACGGCCCGTAAGTACAGAGGGTGATTTGCGTTGCGCGCACCTGTCGGCAGCACGACCCGGCCTGTTACCACACAGCGCGGATCCATCCGAATTGAAACGTTTAGCACAGCCTCGACCAAATACTAAACATGATGTGTGTATGTATGTCTCTGTGTGTTCCCTTGGTCACTCTACCTACCCGCTCGCCTCGCTTTGTCTTCTGTTTTCAGATATCGATCATATATCGTATATTATTAGCTATGCGCTCCAGTCGCTACCATGTCTTACTTATCCTCCAGCATCTACTCTCTGATTTTGGCCGTGGTCACAAGGACCCGGGTTCTTGGCCAGAATCAAAGCTCGGAGAAACCCGAGATTCTCGCGTCGTAAGGACTCGGGAACCTTCGGAGAAAGCCAGAGCTTGGAATTCAGGAATTGAGCCACCCATCGAAGTCAGCCCCTAATTCGCAACCGGGAAGTTGGGAACCCGGCCGCCCACCGAAATTGGTTTGCAACGTTCGCCTATCCATTCAATCCCCGATAGGACCCCTTCCGTGCAAGCGCTGATTGGGTTTTTTCCTTTCTTCTCAGAGTCCCCCTCTCTTCCTTCATATCGTTCCCTACGTTGTTGTTACTATCTCTCTTTGTCTCTTGTTCTCTCTCCCTCTCTCTCTTTCTCTCTCTCTCTCTCTCGTTTTGTCTCTCTCTCTCTCTCTCTGTTTTTTTTTGTTCTCTCTCTCTCTCTCTCTCACTCTCTCTCTCTCTCGCTATATATATATATATATATATATATGTATGTATGTCGCTCTTCTCTCTACTTGGTATGCATTGCTTGTGAATGTGTAGTTACATATGTGTATAAATATGTAAACATGTGTATATATATACACGCCAGAATGAACGAATCGATCTGGGAGTTGACAATGACATAAACGTAAGTTTCCCGGAGATCCGCGCGGACCTCCAACAGTTCATGTTTATGCCATTGTTTGTTCCTTTAGCCTCAAGTCCTCGAGGTGGTAGTGTATCAGGGGTAACGATCGGGGTCCATTAGCCCCAACCTGGGACTCACTATCGGGGGCCCACCGGCGATCCATCGACCATGCATCGCCGGCTCCAGGTCGATGCGTCCTCCCCCCGGATGCCAACCCCCCCTTGAGCGTTGCCTCTCGGTGTATGGGTAGCCTCTGCGTCAGGCTCCGCCGCGCGTTGCCCCCCGGCGCTGCGCCACCGCACGCTCGCGCGGGCGCTCGCGCAGACGCGCGGGGCGCCGGGGCGCTGCGGCTCCTGGAGCCGGGGGACACTCAGCTCCGTGGCCCGCTGGCTTCCCCGAAGGCCTCGTGTACGGTCACACGGTCGGGCCCACCACGTTGCTCAGAGGAGGAAGAGGTGCCAATACCGCTGCGCTTCTTCGTTTTCGCCTTCTGGGGCCCTCATCGCCACCGCTGGATTTGCTTCGGGATTCTGGTCAGAACGCGCCCCAGGAGAGGTCCGCGGGGAGTAGCGGTATCGGTACCTTTTGGTTTCCCCACGTAATTATGGTCGGGCCCACCACGTTTCGGCGCGACGCGATAGTCTATCCAAATCCCAGTCATAAGGCCTCCGCGTCCCAAGCTTTTCCGAGCCTCCACCGGAGCGGAGCGACACGCTATCCGCTCGCAGAGCACAGCGTGTCCACGGGGTCGCCGCCGCGACACGCAAGATCAAAAGTTCCTGATCGTAATTCGAGTATAAGGTCCATGCATCAGAGGAGGAAAGGTACCGATGCCGCTACACTCCCTTCATTTTCGCGTTTCTAAGCCTTCTGGAAGGCCCTCGTCGCCACGGCCGGATTCTCGCAATTCTGGTCAGAGCACATTTGGGTTCCGGAAGGGCTTTGATGTTCCCCGGGTTCCTCCATGGGTCTTCCCTGGCGTTCTTCGTGCGTTTGGACACAACTCGGTTGGGGCCCGAAAGGGGCTTGTACCGCATGCAAGCTTCATCCTGGTAAAAGTTTCGTTGCAGCCCAAGGAAAAGGTCACGAATTGCCGGAGGTCTGCGCGGAATTGTTGGGTCGGCGCTAGATCCAAGAAGTCCACGTTCAGAAAGGTATCGAAGACGCCTACAGCGAATCACAGCCGGCCCCCTGCCTTTTAGCATACGGCTATGTGGCCAATCGTTTAGCCTAAGTTTGGCCACGCTATTGGACTATGCGTTCCCCCAGCCGTTGTTGAATCCCTTCGAAGAACACGTGGGGGAGGAAAAGGAGGACAAGGAGAGGGAGAAAAAAGGAGGATGAGGAGAAGGATGAGGAGACCTCTTGGAAACCTCTTCAGTCATTCTTGTGGCCTCCTGGGAGCTTCCCGTGGACATATTGGAAGCCTCTCTCTCCGACCCTGGCACTCACAGAGGCCGCGCTAAGAGACCACCCCCTGGGCACCCCCTCTGGCGCCGAGAAAGTGCCACGCCTGCCGCGCTCCCGGACCCTGGCACGCATAGAGGCCGCGCTGAGAGACCACCGCCTGCGCACCCCCTCTGGTGCCGAAAAAGTGCCACGCCTGCCACGCTCTCCGACCCTGGCACGCATAGAGGCCGCGCTGAGAGACCACCCCCTGCGCATCCCCTCAGGTGTCGAGAAAGTGCCACGCCTGCCACGCTCTCCGACACTGGCACGCATAGAGGCCGCGCTGAGAGACCACCCACTGCGCACCCCCTCTGGTGTCGAGAAAGTGCCACGCCTGCCACGCTCTCCGACCGTGGCACGCGTAGAGGCCGCGCTGGGAGACACCCCCCTGCGCACCCCCTCCGGTGTCGAAGAATTGACACGCCTGCCACGCTCTCCGACCCTGGCACGCATAGAGGCCGCGCTGAGAGACCCCCCCCTGCGCACTCCCACTGGTGTCGAAAAAGTGCCACGCCTGCCACGCTCTCCGACCCTTGCACGCACAGAGGCCGCGCTGAGAGACCACCCCCTGCGCACCCCCTCTGGTGTTGAGAAAGTGCCACGCATGCCACGCCCTCCGACCCTGGCACGCATAGAGGCCGCGCTGAGAGACCGCTGAGAGACCACCCCCTGCGCACCCCTTCTGGTGCCGAGAACGTGCCACGCCTGCCGCGCTCTCCGACCCTGGCACGCACAGAGGCCGCGCTGAGAGACCACCCCCTGCGCATCCCCTCAGGTGTCGAGAAAGTGCCACGCATGCCACGCTCTCCGACCCTGGCACGCATAGAGGCCGCGCTGAGAGACCACCCCCTGCGCATCCCCTCTGGTGTCGAGAAAGTGCCACGCCTGCCACGCTCTCCGACCCTGGCACGCATAGAGGCCGCGCTGAGAGACCACCCCCTGCGCACCCCCTCTGGTGTCGAGAAAGTGCCACGCCTGCCACGCACTATGCGTGCGGCTGCATGTTGACGCGTGTCTGATGCACGTGCCGTGCATGTGTTGCGCGTGGGTGAAGGGAGGGAGGAAGTGAATAAGGGGAGGAAGGAGGAGGGACGGGAGGTGTGTGTGTGTGCTGGAGACGCGGGTGCGACGCGGCAGAGAAGAAAACCATAACCCCACTAAACATGTGGGGAAATATTCAAAACTAATCAGGGGCGATGTTTAAAAATATGTTTAAACATTTGTGGAGTATGGTTTGGGTATTTTGCAACTTTCGCCCAAAATCCCCCTGTAGGGGGACGGGCCCTAGTCCTTCGGGTGGCCAACGGGTCGCGAGCCCAGCTGGACGACCCCGCCCCAGCCGCGGACGCCGCAGCAGTCGCCCCGCCGCCGGTCGGCGTCGGCGCGCCTGCGTCCCGCCTCGATCGGCTCGTCGACCTCGGGCTCCTCGGCGCCTGCGCCTCCGCGTCCGCGCGGCAGCTGCGGGAGCTGGCGCCCGTTAGGGGGCCACATGCGAACCCTACCCCTACCCCCCACGATTTCGGAGGGGGAAGGGTGGGGTTCATTTCATTCGGGAGCTCCCGAGCGAAGTGAACCCCACCCTCCCCCTCAGAAATCGTGGGGGGTAGGGGTAGGGTTCGCGTGTGGCCCCCTACCCGTGGTGGTGGAGCAGCTGCGGCTGCGGCTGCCGCAGCACGCCAGGGGCTCCAGCTGGGAGTGCACGGGCCCCCCGTGCCCTCTGCTGGCGCTGGTGCTCGGAGGAGGGCGCGTGGGGACCACAGCCTCCTCCTCCTCCTCCTCCTCCTCCTCCTCCTCCTCCTCCTGCTTCTCCTCCTGCTCCTCCTCCTCCTCATCATCCTCCTCCTCCTCACCCTCCCTCTCCTCCCCCTCCTCCTCCCCCTCTTCCTCCTCCTCCTCCTCCCCCAGCTCCTCCTCCTCCTCCTTCCCCCCCTCGCCATGGCCGGACGCAGCCTGGAAAACGGGTGCGTTTGGACCTTGGGAGTTGCTGTTCTCTCAGCTCGCCCTGCCCCGAGGTGCAGTGCAGCAGCTTCGTGGAGGCGCTGGCGGGCGACTGGCAGCCTGGCCAGCAACGGCAGGAGCAGCACCACAGGTGGCGCCTGGCCGCTCTTGGCGGCGCGGAGCTGGCCTTCGGCGGCGACCCAGCCGCCCGGCCTCGCGGAGCCCTATGGCCTCCGTTGTCGTTGTGGGCCGTCCTTTCCGCGGCGCCCCCGGGCGTTGCGTCCGCGGCGCTCGCGTCGCTGGTCGCGGCCTGCGTGGCGATCCGAGCGCCGCCCGCCTCCAGGAAGCCAGCGACATGGAGTTTGCAGCAGCTTTGGACCCTGAGCATGACGGCGCCCTTCTGCATCGAGGAGCTGCTCCATGCGCTGCAGGGCGGCGTGCACGTGAGACTCTTCGAGAAGTACGCCCGCGGCAATTTCCGCGTCGACGGCATCTGCCAGCTGATCTTGCGCGGGCCACTGAAGCTCCAGGTCCGCGCACTTCTGCCGAAGGTCCTGCCAGCCATGGTCCTAACAAAAAATGTGCAGACCATCGAGGAAATCTGCGCGCTGCTTGAGGAATCCGCCCAGTCGCTGTTCACGCCTCAGCTGCCCTACATTCTGAGCGCCATGGCACGGCAGCCTGTGGAGAGCATGGCTGGGGCGTTCAAATTCATTTCAGAGCGGGTGTACAGCCGCCAAATGTCCATCACGAGCATCTGCGACGCGTCACTCGGACAGGTCCTGGTCCTCATCCTCTGGAACAGCGTCTCTCCCGAGGGGCACGAGGAGTCTCGCAGACTCTGCCGCTACGCCGTCGAGAACATCGTGGGCGCACTCAAGGCCTCCGCCGCCAACGCGGGCGCTGCCGTGGGGGCCGCTGCGTCGACGCGCCCGCCCCTCGGCGCAGTGCCTTGGCAGCCCCAGGGCCAGCGGAGAACAATCGACTCTGTGAGCGGAGGGGCCGCCGCTGGCACCCCAGACGGACCACCGCGGAAGCGTCGGACGGCAGGCGGTGGCACCGTGGGCGGTGGTGCGGCAGTTGCCGCGGCCGGGGACGCCGCGGCCCTGTCCGAGGTCGTGCAGACTCCCATGCAGACACTAGAGGACAGCTTCCTGCACGTCCTGGACATCTTGGAGATAGTCCTCAGCGGGAACAGGCATCGACTACACGCAAGAGTGCCCCTTCGCCGGAATGACCTTCGGTGCGGGCTCACCAGGGCCCCCCCGATCGCTGATCAAGAGGCGCTAGTGACCGCTTGCGCGCTTGGATTTGACCACTTTGCGCCCCCTTAATCCGCGCACTAATGGTCACCCTTGCCCAGGGTCACTCTTGCGTGTAGTCGACAGGCAGTCCCCCAAGTGGGAGGAGTACAGCCCGCTCCTCTGCGATTCCCACGGCGATGAGCGGCGCCTGGACCACGGCCGCCTGCTCGCGGCCATCGCGCTGCTGTTCGAGCTCGTGCCCCAGAGCCTCCACCGCTTCTCGCCCAAGGTCCTGGAGTTCCTCCACTCGGCCTCGGAGCTCTCCGGCTTCCACCCCGAGGCGGCCCGGTGCTGGCAGCTGTTCGTGGAGCACGTGGGCGTGGCGAAGTTGCGGCTGCTGCTGCCCGCGGTGGTGGCCGAGCTGCTGCGGCTGGCCGCGCGGCTGCGGCCTCGCGCGCCTGGCGGCAGCGGCCAGATCTGCCTGCGCGCCCTCTTGGACAGCGTTGTGTGCCAGACCTGCCGGGTGTACCCCGAGCTCGTGGCGTCGCTGCCGCGCCTGCCGCCGTGGCCAGAGCTGTCCGCCGCGCGGGCGGCGCTGGGCGGGCGGCAGCCAGAGGGCCGCGGCGAGACGCCCGAGGGGTTCAGCAGGCAGCTGGAGGCGGGCCTGGAACAGCTGGAGAGTGCCGCGCAGCAGGCCGTGAGGCGCGCCGCCCTGGAGCACATTACCTCCCTGATGGAGTCGCAGCGGCCCATGCCGGCGAGGATCACGCAGCTCAGCCCCACGCTGCTGTCGAGGCTGATGCGCGCCCTGCTGAAGTTCCTCTGGGAGTCCTCCGCCTGGCCCGAAGACCAGCTCATGTGTGGTCGGCTGCTCGGCTCGTGCGGGGCCATCGACCCCGCCCGGCTCTCCCAGCTGGACCTCAGCCGCGAGCGGCTCTCCCGCACGCCCGCGGACCTGGGCAGCGCGGACCAGCTCGCCAAGAGGGTGCTCGCGGACTTCCTGGTGCCCAATCTCACGGGCAAGAACTCGTACGCCTTCGCCGCCCAGGAGATCCTCAAGTACCTGCAGGGCTGCGGGCGCGCCCCCGAGGTGTTGGCGGGCCTGAGCCAGGACGTGCGCGAGACACTGCGGCCGTATATGCACAGCTCCTACCAGCTCGTCGACGGGGCACAGGCCTTCGAGGACACGTCCACGTTCGACGGCGTGGTTGCGCTGGCAGTGGGGTTGACCAACGGCGAGCAACGGGCCCTCTTTCTGGCGTGTCTACCCGCCGCGCATGGCAACCACGCATTGTCCCTCTTCCTGATGCACCATGTGCTGCACAGCTTGCTGGAGTCGAGGATCCCCACCGAGCAGCTAGAAGGGCTCGCCGCTTCTCTCGGGGGCTTGCTGGACTCTCCGAACGACGCCACCGCGCAGGCCGTGTTCTCGCTCGTAGACGATCTGATCGAGAGGCGCGAGAAATTGTGCCTCAGTGCAGGCCACTCGCGTGCCCAGCCTGCCGACGCGGCGGCCCGGGAGCGCATGAAGCAAAGGATTGGCGCTCTCCAGTCGCCGATCACCCACCGCCGTATAGTCTCCGCCTCAGTACGCTGCGGTGCGCACGCGCGGGCGCTGCAATTCCTCGAGCAGGCGATCATCGATGAGCACGAAGGAGATAGGCTACACGGAATATCTACACATCGTTCATCTCTAATTCTTCGAAAGTTATGTGATTCTTGCTGGGGGCCAAGATCCTTTCATTTCTAATTGTTCTATCCTGGGCCTCTTCCTGGCCACCAGGGGGCCAGAAACAAATAGAAACGAGCACATCTAGAAATGAGCCCGATTAGAAATGAACGACGTGTACTCCGGATTCCATAATAAAGTAGGGGGGGGTACATTTGGCGGGGGCGTCTGATTTGAGCTGTCTTGAAGGGTTAGGGGGGCTCTGGGCAAAGGGCCGCCCTTTCATGGATGGTCTGGGAGGGTCTAAAACTTTTCGTCTGGGAGGGTTGTGACCCCCTCCCTTTTATTACGAAATCTGGGGTGCCCTTCGCCAGGATGACCTTCGATGCGCGGTTCCTTGGGTGACGCGGCGGCGCGGCGGGGGGGGCCAGGCCCAAGCACGCAGGCCGTCACTTGTCGTGTCGCAGGCAACCATCGGCGAGCCGCTCCCCAGAGGCCCACTCAGTGGCCAGGGCCACTCGTCCTCCTCCTCCTCCATCTCCTCCTCCTCCTCCTCCTCCTCCTCCTCCTCCTCTTCCTCCTCCTCCCTCCTCCTCCTCCCTCCTCCTTCTCCTCCCCCTCCTCCTCCTCCTCCTGCTCCTCCTCCTCCTCTTCCTTCAGCCGAGGAGACGGCAACGTGTTCGACGACGCCCGCATCGAGAGCGAGGAGGACTGCCTGCTGTTGCAGTCGATCTACCGCGACCTCGACGAGCCCGATGGCGCCCTCGGGGCCCTCCGTGCCGGGCCCGCCACTGCCAAGACGCGTGCGTTGCGCTTCGAGCAGGAGAGTCGCTGGCAGGACGTGCAGTCATTCTACGAGGTCCAGCTGGCGTCCACTCCGCAGGAGGGCGAGGTCCGTCGCGAGCTGCTCTGTCGGCTGGCGCACTGCCCGCACAACCTGCGCCGGTTCGAGTCGTCGCTGCGCCTCATCGAGGGCATGGACGGGGAGGACTTGCAGGTAAGGTTGCGGCCCCTTGCCGTGGAGGCCGCCTGGCAGCTGAGCAGCTGGGGCAGGCTGGAGAGGGCGCTAGAGAAGCCCGCGGCGCAGGAGGCTGACGACTTCCAGGTCTCCCTTGGCCAGGCCCTGCTCAAATTCCACCAACGAGATTCTGCTGGGCTCGAGAGCGCTTTGAGAAGAACCACGCTCCAGGTGACGCAGACAGTGGCATCGGCCGCCAGGGAATCGTACACCCGCGCCTACCAGCACCTCCTGAAGCTGCACGTGCTTTCCGACCTCTCCTGGCTGGCTGGGAGGCGTCCCGACGCGGGGGCGGTGCCGCCAGCGCCAGGGGAGCTAGCCAAGTGCCTGCTTGACCGGGCCGAGGTGGTGGTGCCGACATTCTCTGCCAAGCAGCTGGTGTTGAGCCCGCTTCGGACGGCCCTGCAGGACATGGGTCTGGCAGACGACTGCAAGCGCGTCGAGCTCGCGGTGGTGCAGCTGTGCCGAAAGCATGGCGCCCCGGCCGCGATGGAGCATCCAGAGGTGCCAGGGGTGGACCTAGGCAGTGCTTTGGCGATGTCGTGGGCCGTTTTCGTTTCGAGCTCGTTTTGCGGCAAAGGCGGATTGAAGACAAAACGAGGGACAGCGAAAACAAGGCGAAAGCGAAAAACACCGTTGAGGCTCAGCCCTGCGGAGGTGAGTTTCGCGGGCGCGGGCGTGTCCGCCGAGACGTTGGCACAGGCCCAGCTCGAGTGGGGCAGGCTGTGATGGGCTGGTTTTCCACCACCACCACCACCATAAGTTGGAGGGGGAGGGGCTCCTCCTCCTCCTCCTCCTCCTCCTCCTCCTCCTCCTCCTCCTCCTCCTCCTCCTCCTCCTCCCTCTCCTCCTCCTCCTCCTCCTCCTCCGCCTCCTCTTCGTCCTCCTCCTCGTCCTCCTCCTTCCCCCCATCCAACTTATGGTGGTGGTGGTGGAAAACAAGCCCATCAGGCTGCTCTACGCGCGCGGATCGCGCCACGACGCGCTGCGGCACATGCGGCAGCTCGCCCCGCGCAGCCCGAAGGCGCGGCTGCTGGGCGCGCGGTGGGCCACCGAGCCCGCGGCCGAGCTGCTCATCCCGCGGGTCGCGGAGGCGGAGTTCAAGATCGCGAAGGTCCAGGAGGAGGAGGAAGAGGCGGAGGAGGACGAGGAAGAGGAGGAGGCCACCTAAATGGGAAGGTCCACCGCCAGAGTATGTCCACGTCCACCGCTTCCGGGTCGCACCCGGAGGTCTCGAGGAGCGGTGGATGTGGACACCTGCCCGCCTGCATGGGGCGAGCAGACATCGGTATCCACCGCTCCATGAGTTCCCAGGACACGACCCCACGGCAGGGGATATGGACATACTCTTGTGGCGCAACGGGATCGGAGGATCGCGCCGCATCGCCGATGCATCGGCCATGCGGTTCGATGCGGAGCCCAGTTTTCTCCATGCCGACGGCAATGTCGGCGATCCTCTGGCCCCACTCGGACCTCGCTTGAGAGGCCTCCAGAAACCGAAGGCCAAAGAAAATGCCCTAGCCGACTGTACCAGCAAAAAGGGACTGCCCTGGTACTGTACTGCACTGGACTGCCCTGGCCCGCTTCGAGGTTGGATTCCGTCTGGCGCTTGCGGTGCACCCTTCCCTCCTCCTCCTCCGCCTTCTTCGGAACTGCGCTGGTACAGTGGGGCTGCTGAACTAAGGAACGATAATTAAGGAAGGAAGCCCCTTTTTGGCCCCAACAGCGCTTGCGTGCACGAGAAAGGCTAGAGGAAGAACCACGGAAGGGCGTAAAGCGAGCCCCTTTCCGAACCCAAAGCGGTCCTTATGTTGCGTCTTGATTGAAGGAAGTTAAGGAAATCAAAAGGTACCAATACCGCTACTCCGCGGACCTCTCCCGGGGTGCGTTCTGACCAGAATTTCGAAGCGAATCCAGCGGTGGTGACGAGAGCCTCACAGGAGGGCGAAAAAGGGGACAACGGGCCAAGGCCAGCGGTATGGGTCCCTTTTTCCTCCTCCCAGGGGCCTGAAGGAACTGGGTCCTGAACCCCGGGGCCTTCCCCCAGGACGAGATCTTCATCCTGAGTCGTCTTCTGACAGTCCCGGGGCCCGTGCAGGACCCCGAGGGCCCGAGCACGCCGAGAGACTTCGGATTCCCGCCTCCCCCCTGGCGAGCTCGGGGGGCCTCTGGAAGGACAGCCTCCCGGCCGACGAGGCCGCGTGCTTCTACCACGCGGCCTACCTGGACCGGCTGCTGAAGGAGCACCTCGCCAGGAGGGGCCCCGCCTCCGCGGCGGGCCCGCCGCAGGCCGAGAGGAGCCCCTTCGACGTGAAGAACCTGATCACCTTCACCCTAAGGCCTCCTCCTCCTCCTTCTCCTCCTCATTCTTCCCCTCCCTCTCTTCTTATCACTCCCTTCCTTCTCCTTACAGATAGCTCCTCCCTGTCGCACCCCGCGGCCAGGTTTAGGGCGGGCCGGGCGTTCGCCTGAGGCTTCCTCACCATTTATGATTCTGAAGCTTGAAATGTGATCACATGTTTAAAGATGGAGGGCGGGTCGTTTTCAAAATGTGGCTCTCGCCTTAGCGCCGCGCACACTCGCTTTAAACATTTGCAAGAGTTTCACGGATTGAGGGCGGGTCGTTTTCAAAATGCAGTTCTCGCCGTAGCGCCGCGCACATTCGCTTTCAAGAGCTTCACGCATTGAGGGCGGGCGGTTTTCAAAATGTTGTTCTCGCTTTAGCGCCGCGCGCATTCGTTTAAACAAATTGCAAGATTTTCACGGATTGAGGGCGGGTGGTTTTCAAAATGTGGTTCTCGCTTTAGCGCCGCGCACGTTCGTGTTCGAAATTTGCAAGAGTTTCACGGTCCTGTCTAAGATGTGGCTCTCGCCTCAGCGCCCCGCATATTCGTTTTCAACATTTGCAAGAGTTTCATGGAATCCCAGGATCAACGTACCAGAAATGGCGTTTTGGAAGGATTCAGGATTATGCGGGTGCAACGGTTATGTTGATTCGCGGTGGTGAAGTCCCAAAAATGGCACTCTGGCACGATTCCAGATCGTCAAGACGCAGCAGTCCGGTTGACACGTGGCGTTGAAATCCCGACAACAATGTTTTGGCATGCTTCAGGATCTTCAAACAGTTGCCTTCCAACGAGGTGGAAATGAACCGCTGTGGGGGCCTCTGAAGAGGAAGTTTGGAGGGAGGGTTCATTCCAACATCTTTGATGACTCTTGGTTCTACACTGGTCCTCCTCCTCCTCCTCCTCCTCCTCCTCCTCCTCCTCCTCCTCCTCCTCCTCTTCCTCCTCCTCCTCCTCCTCCTCCTCCTCCTCCCCTCCTCCTCCCCTCCCCTCCTCCTCCTCCTCCCCTCCTCCTCCTCCTCCTCCCCTTGCCTCCTCCTCCTCCTCCTCCTCCTCCTCCTTCTCCTCCTCCTCCTCCTCCTCCTCCTCCTCCCCCTCCTCCTCCCCCTTGCCTCCTCCTGGCCCCGGGGGTCCCGAGCCAAATGGGGCCCCCAGGGCTCGAGCGCGCCACGGGCCGCGCTCGCCCGCCACGCGTTGCGGGCCGGGGAGGCCTCGCTCGGCGGCGATCGGGGGGCCCGGCCTCGGAGGAGGAAGGTTACCAGCCTCGAACGTATCCCTATCCCTAAGATTGACACGCCAAAAGGCGATGACAATCTTATGGAGTCGCCCTCAAAAAATAAGGGAATCCCTGAGACTGGCATCGTGATGAGGAGGTGCCCAGCATAGGGATAGGGATATGTTCCAGGCGGGTACGAAAAGGCACCGATGCCGCTGCCCCCTTCCCTCGTCTTCGCCTCTCTGGTCCTCCCGGGAGGCCCTCGTCGCCACCGCTGGGTTCGCCTCGAGAGCCTCGCCGGGACGCGCGCCCCGGGAGAGGTCTGCGGAGCAGCGGGGCATCGGTGCCTTTTTTGGCTTCCCCAGAGGCTTTGGAGGGATCGGTCGACGGCGGCGGGCGAGGGGGGGAAGTGAAAAGAAGAAGGCCCCCTCAGAGGGTGGCGGGGCTTCTCAGAAGCCCTCCAGCCTTGGAGAGGTGTTCTGCGTCTCCGAGGGTGGCTTGGAAATTTCTCGGAAGGCCCGGGGCCTTCCGAGCCGTCTGAGAAGGCCCGCACCGTCTGACTCCCCCCACGGCTCGCCGGCAAGAGGAATCGGGGACACGTTAGATTCGAGTCTAAGGAGAGACATGCAGATCCATGCTGTTGCATACGCATGAACTTTAGGAGATCCGCGCGGATTTTTCTCGGATCATCGCTGGACCCCTCCCTGGCGCTCGGAGCGTGCCAGGGGCGGCGCCCGAGGTGCCGCCAGGGGGGCCCAGCGCAGATCCAAGAAGAGCCGATGCCGTTTTTGGCGACCACGCTGCCCATTCTCCCTCCTCGGTTTCTCTTCCGTCTCCTTCTTGGTTGGCGCTCAGCGTGGCGAGCTCGGGTCTCACGTTTCCCCAAGTCCTCGTCGGCCTCGGGTTGAATTGAGGAGAAATAATGGCATGAGCCTAAACTTTCGGAGGTCCGCGTGAATTTCTCTGATCGGCGCTGGAGCTCCCTGGCGGCGCCTCCAGCGCCGACTCTAGCGCGCACCGGGGGGTCCAGCGCCGATCCGAGAAACCCGCACGGACCTCCAAACAATGGTGTTAATGCTATTGTTTGCTCCTCTATCCAGCCTGAGGCCGAAGAGGAATCGAGAAAACGTGTTGCTCCAGTTCGCCGGAACTCGGGTCTGCCGATCTTCTTTGACGGGCTCATCTTGGATCTCGACGGTTCAGTTTTCTTGAGGGTGTTTGCAGCGGGAGTTCGCGTCAAATTTCAGATTGGGTCTTGCCATTCTCCTTACGGCCCCGTCAAGGCAACACCGGGCAAAATGAGTTCACCGAACCCGAGTCGCGTGCCTCCCCGAAGGAAAAAAGTGCATCAGCACAAATGTTCGGACCTCCCCGCGGAGTTCTTAGATCTGCGCTTCCCCCAGGGGAACCAGCGCAGATCCAAGAGATCCGCGCGGAGCTCAGAAAGCTTGTGTTTACGCAGCGTGTTCTTCTTCTTCCTCCATGAGGGGCTACCTGCAGGCGCTGCGGCGGGGCACCAAGCGGCTGCACTTCATCCTGAACAGGGTCCTCCAGCTCGCCTGGGACTGCTGCGAGCTGGAAATGCACAAGGCAGCCGCCCTGGAAGAGATAAGCGCCGCGGACAGGTCGCTCGAGCCGTGGATGTGGTACCCCGTGCTCCCGCAGCTCATCAGCCGCCTGCAGAACCCAGACATGCGCGAGTTGTTCAAGCAGTTAATCGCGAAGGTGCTGATGGCGCACCCGCATCAGGCGGGCTGGCAGATTATGCAGCTGAGCAAGTCTTCCTGCAAGGAGATGGTCGCCTTGCTGTCGAACCTCTTGACGACGCTCGGGAGGAAAGACAACAATTTCCACCGGGTCATGTGCAGGTATTCCAGGCTGTTCGATCAGCTGATTCGTCTCGCCCAGTTCCAGCCGGAGGACCCCAGGCAGCAGCACATCAGCCTCGACAGGCACGATTTTGCCAAGCTGGTGGGCGGGTTCTCGCATAGGACGCCGACGCAGGGCGGGTCCGAGGGCTGGCGCGTCATCGTGCCGCTCCAGTCGCAGATGACCGCGGCGATCCCCCGGATGCGACTGCACGGGGAGCCCGGGGCCACGATCGATCCGTTCCCGGAGGCGATATTCGCAGAGAAGTGTCACAACGTCGCGGAGGTGCTCCGATCTAAGGAGAAGCCAAAGAAGATCACTTTTCTTGGCGACGACGGGCGGTCGTACCCTTTCCTCTGCAAGTCAGAGAAGAGGGGGGACCTCAGGAAGGATTCACGGATGATGGAGTTCGGACTCATGGTGAACCAGCTGTTGCAGAAGAACCCAGATGCACGTCGAAGGAATCTTGGGATACGCACTTTCAATGTTGTCATTATGATGGAAAGTTGCGGCCTGATCGAGTGGGTGCCTAATACGAAGGGCCTGCGCCCAATCATCGAGGATCTTTGGAATTCATTGAACCCGGGCGTGATGCTAACGGTGAGGCAGATCAAGGACATGTACTCTACAACGAGAAGCCAGTACGAGACCTTCACGAAAGAGGTGTTGCGGAGAAACCCTCCAATCATGCACAGGTGGTTCTCCTTGAATGCAGACCCGTCTGTATGGCTGTCCAAGCGGCTGCTCTTCAGCCGGACCCAGGCGCTGTGGTGCATGCTTGGCTACCTCGTTGGCCTGGGCGACCGACATGGAGAGAACATCCTTGTAGAACAGGATACTGGCCAAATTGTCCATGTCGACTTTGATTGCCTCTTCGGCAAAGGCATGCACTTGGAATGCCCCGAGACCGTCCCCTTTCGGCTCACGCAGAACTGTGTTGCAGCCATGGGCGTCACAGGAGTCGAAGGCGTGTTCCAGAGTTGTTGCGAGCTCGTTATGGGGGTGCTGAGAGACTCGGCCAACAGGCAGACGATCCTCTCTGTGCTGCACGTCTTCATCGCGGACCCGCTGATCGAGTGGGCCCGCAGACCGCAGGTGCCGCTGCGGCCGCAGGACGAGAAGCAGAACCGCATACGTGACGCCCGAATCACGATCGGCGACGTGGAGAAGAAGCTCGACGGCATGCTCAACGTCGGAGCCGCCGTCGACGTCAGGGCAGCACACCAGGGCGAGTCGGTGCTCACTCCAGAGGAGCGCGGGCGCACCTCCAGCGGGCTGCTGGGCCGCGACCGCGGCGTGGGGCTGTCGGTCGCCGGGCAGGTGGACGAGCTGCTGAAGGCCGCCATGTGCAAGCGGAACCTCAGCGAGATGTACGTGGGCTGGCAGTCGTGGCAGTGAGGGCCGCGCGGCCGCGCGCCGCGGCGGCCTCCGGGCGCCGTGCGCGGGCGGGGCCCGTGCCAGGGGCGCGCGGGCCGGCAGCCGTGGCAGCGGTGCCGCGCGGCCGAGCGCGCGGCGCCCGGAGGCCGCAGCGTGCAGGCGGCGCCTCTGCGAGGTGCAGCCGGGTGGGCCGGCAGCCGTGGCAGTGAGCCGCGCGCACGGCGCCCGCGGAAGCGTCGCCTCGCAGCGGGGGCAGGGGTGGCGCGAGGGCTTCCCAGGGGCCCCCTGCCTTCTGGGAAGGGCGCCGCCCTCTTCCCGCCTCCGTGGGCGCGCCGCCAGAGCGCGGGGCGAGGGGGGGGGCGGAAGAGGCAGGAATTGCCGCCAGACGCGGGGGAGGCACTGCGCCCACAGATTAGAGCAGTGCGGGCTCCGGCGGCGGGAACAAAGGCACCCGTCGACGCACTGCGCGCTGGCTGGGCGGCAGGAGGAGGACGAGGCCGAGGGCGAGGAGGACGAGCAGGTTGTCCGTGCGTATTCCCAGCCTGATCGAGGCGGGGACCTCGGGGGGCTGCTAGTGGGGAGGCTCCGGGAGGGGGGCGTTCTGGGAGCAGCTCACTGGGGGTATCTCCTCTGGCCCGCCCCCCGTCCCGCCTCCACTGGCGCCGCTGAGGGCTGCTGTAGCATTGGAACGCACAGCGGCACCGTCGTCGTCGTCGTCGGCATCGACGTCGGCGTTCGTCGTCGGCGTCGGCGTCGGCGTCGGCGCCGTCGTCGGCGTCGGCGTCGTATTCGTCGGCGTCGTCGTCGTGTGCGGCAGCGCCTTCCCCACGCGGCCGGGTGGCCCCGCCCGCGGTGCGGACCTCGCGCCTCTCGGCCCGGAGCTTGGCCGTGTGCTCGGCGTGGCTCGATGTGCCGCTGTCTTCGCTTCGGCGAACATCTCCTTGATCGCCGCTTCGCTCGGAGCTGAGATCGCCGCCGCTCACCATCCTCTCCGATCCTCGTCCCCCAGCTCGATGTCGTCCGCGAGGCCAAACGATCCGTCTACTCCTGCGATCTCGGCAATACCCTCGAGATTCCCATCGAGCAGCCGACCCAGATCCAACGTGGGTTTGGTCTCACTGGCCATATCCTCCCTTCCGTCTACGTACTTCGCGCATGCTTCCTCTAACTTGAATGTGATCCGCTGGGCCAACGCCAGCTGCGTCCAGAGGCTGTGCAAGGTGGTTTCCTTCGCTCGTTTGCTGGTCGTGGTCTCCAAGGCGTGCGTGCAGCGGTGAACCATCGCCAGTCCGACTTGTTTGGCGTGTCTCCCGACTTGCTGCCAGGTTCGTCTACCTATCCCCATCCCCACCCCACTGGGCCACGGTATCTAAGCCCCACCAGTCCACCTCCCAGGTGGGGACAGGCCCAGCAAACCCCACAGGAACGGGCACATATTCCCACCTGGGTGGGTAAGTCGGCCAGTGGGGCCATGCCAGAGGGGATAGGGATCGGTTAAACGATGCTCACAGTTTTCAAACCAGTGGCCAAGAGCTCGATATCCTGCAGGCCTGGCGAGCTCGCCACGGCCACCCTCCCCTTCTTGTTGGCACCATTCCTCCACCAGCCGCACATGGCCGCCTGAGAGATAGAGAATCGGAGCTGCCCAGAGCTTCGGCCAGGCACTGTGCGACACCTGAGCCTCGTTCGAGTCCAAACGGCTTCAAGGTCCTCCTCCTCATCCTCATGCTCCTCATCCTCCTCCTTTCTTCATGCGCTGAGGCGGCCAGCGGCGAGACGTGGCATCCATATTCCAGGTGAGCTGCTCGACGCGCTGTCGACGGAACGCCGACTACATACACGTCCAGGGTGAGTTGTCGCCTCACGTTCACATTCATTGTGATCGGCCCGATCTGAGGCCGCCTCCGAATCCTGGCCCCACGCGCGCAGACGTGGCCCACGCGCTCTGCATCCGTCACGCCGCCTCGGAACTCTGGCTGCGCCTGCTCCGCGGCCAGCAGCGTCCTCCTCCTCCTCGCCCCTCCTCCTCCTCCTCCTCCTCCTCCTCCTCCTCCTCCTCCTCCTCCTCCTCCTCCTCGCTCCTCCTCGCTCCTCCTCTTCTTGACCTTTTTGGCATGCTCTGGAAGCGCTCTGCTGGAACGTGCCTTCTGGGCCCCCCTGTCCTCGCCCGTCTTCTCCCTGACCGGGCTTGCGTCCGCATCCCCAGCAGGCCGCCGCCGTCCTCCTCGGGCGGGCGGTTGCGGCCATCTCCCTCTGCCGATGGCGGGGACTGCTCATTCTTCCGGGTAGTCGAAGGCCAGACTGTCAGATTGGATTGGGCCCCAAGGGCCAATCTGGCAGGGCCAAACTGGATGATCTGGGTTCTTCGCCAGACTGGATTCGCGTGGGCTCCCTCGCCAGATTGCCCCCGTTTGCCAGATTGGGCCTGCCAGATTGGCGCCAGATTGGCTTCGACTACCCAGTTCTTCCGCTCTACAGTCAACCCGCATAGTGAGGATGGGCAACCCTCCCAAGGTTGCCCTTGCATCCTTGCCCCCTCGGTCCATCCTTGGCCGCTTCCGCCGACCGCGCCCCGCTCGAAAAGCTTCGAGGCGGGTTTCCAAGGCCCCTGCATCCCCAGCGCACATCCTTGCTATACTGCTTGACTGTACTTCCGGCACCTGCCCGACCGCCGTCGGCGGGCAGCGGGCAGTCGTTGCCTGATGGCGCGCCGGCCTCGACGAGCGGCGCGTTTCAGCCGCCGCCCCAGCGCCGCGGGGCCTGCCGGGAGCTCGGCGGGCTCGACCTGCGGACCCCGTGCTGCCGCGCCGTGCTTGCTTTCCCAGAGGTCCGACGCTCCAACAAGAATTGGAGCGGCGGGATTTCGGCAGTTCTCGGCCTCTGGGGGCCCTCGCCGGGCCTCGGGAGTGTCAAAAAACGATCCAGGACGAAAAACTGGTCCCGGGGAAGTGGTCTGGACCTCTCGGGCCCACGCATCAAAAAAAGTCGGAGCAGCCGGATGTGTGGGTTCTTCTTCTGTGCCAGCCGGTCGTCGCCTCAACTCGGCCCGCCCCTTTCACCGCCCCCCATCCTCAGCCACGGGCAGAGGGGGGTGGGGGGAGGGGGGAGAGCTTAGAAGCACCCCTGCTTCTTAGAAGGCGCGGGCCTCATCCATAGATGTAAGGCGGGCGCCTTCTAAGAAGCAGCCTCCTTCTAAGAAACCCTCCCCCCTCCCTCCACCCCCTTGTGCGCACCGCCAACACTCCCCAGGCCCCCCCCCCCCAGCCTCGACCGTTTTCCGAGCCGATCGAGGATCGATGGCGTGGTGCTCTCGGTTTCGGCGTCCGGGGGGCGTCTCTGCGCCGCGGCCCGGGGGCCATGCAGAAGCGACGCGCGACCAGAAGCCTGTCCCGGGGCAGGGGTTGCTCTTGGGCGCCCGCGGGTCGAAAGATCACGACGTCGGAGGTCTGGGCCGACATCCAAGCGTCGTGAAGAGCACACACAGCGGGCTTTTTCGCAGTCTCCAGCCCCCAGGGCCCTCACGCGTCGATCTGGCTCTGAAAATCAGGTAGCAGCACAGGGGGGGTGAATTGCGGTCGCGTTTTTTCGCGACGTCGCATTTTTCCCACAACGTCGGACGTCAGGGGATGGCCAGCTTTGTCTTGCTGTTGGCTTGGAGTGATCAGTACGCCACGAGAGGGTAGAGGCAAAAGAGTAGCGAAGCATGCGGTTTGCCATTGGAGCCATGAAGAGGGCCCTTGCTTCGAATTGATAACTACGGAAGCGAAGCGAGCCCATAAGTTATAGATCGATGATATTTGTGTTGTTGTTTGCTTGTCAGGTGAGCCCAGTGAGATCGTTCATTCTCGGCATGTTCCGGAACATCCCTGGCATGCAGTTGTTCCTGATGATCCCCACAGTGGGCGTCATTTGTGCCCTCATGAAGTACAAGGACACAGTGTGCAGAGGTTCAGTCAGATGTGGGCACGATCGGACACGAGACTCTTGGCGTCGTGATTTGTTCGCGACGTTGGCCCCAGAGCTCTCGGCCCCACCCCTGGGACACTTCTTCTGTCGCGGGTCGTGTTGTGATGGGTACGGGCCGGAAGCACACGGACTCCAGACGCCGAAATCGAGGAAACACCCACGTCAGAGGTTTGGCGAAGGAGGAGGAGGAGGAGGAGGAGGAGGAGGAGGGGGAGGAGGAGGAGGAGGAGGAGGAGGAGGAGGAGGGATAGGAGGAGTCGAACAGGAAGCCAGGTTGACCAGCGGCGGTGAGGAGCTCACTCTGGGGGGGGGAAGTCCCGCCTGTCTCAGGACGCAGGAAGCGGCGAGCGCTAGACCCCGGGCAGGCCTCGGGAAACGCCAGCCAAGGCAGTCAGAGAATGATGCACGTCAAGGGGGGACACGCTGACATAACTTAAACGCATGCTCGTGCCGCATGCGCTCAAGTCGAAGCCGTGGAATCCGTCGTCTTCTGCAGAGCGATGTCAAGGCCTGCTCGCTTGGCATTGCCTGCCCGGACTTCCTGGCAGAGGCCTACGGTGCGGGCCTCGGGGCCTGTCAGCGCCCAGGTCCAAAAAGGCTGCGGGTACGGAATACAAAGGACATTCGCAATAACGCCGTTTTTTATAAGATCCACCCACCATCCCCAGCCTCGAACCAAATTTCTCGACGCGGGGATCCCCAAATGTGCTCTTCATACTCCTGTCACGTTTCTCTCCAGAATTCTGTCTATGAGCATCTGAGTGCGAGAGCGAGTCCACGTAGACGACAGGCGCGGCAATGACGACGACGACGACGACGACGACGACGACTTCAATGACGTCGTTCTCCTCCTCTTCTGGACATCTTTCAGGAGAGACGAAGGCAACACGAGTGGAAGAGCGAGGTGGAGTTTCTCTTGCCGTGCTCCCCGCGGCATCTCGCGGCAACCATCTCTGTGCAAGCTTCCTTCAGGGCGAGAGAATAGGAGTGTTGGTGATCTGACTGTGAGCGAGTCCGAGTGTGCATGAATCCTGGTTAAATCGAGCCTGAGTGTGAGTGAGTCTGGATGTTGCCAGTGTGAGTACGAGTGGGTCTCAGTATGCTTGTTTTTGAGTGCGAGCGAATCGAAGTGCGAGTGGGCCCGTGTGCGGGTGAGTCTGTGGCGGTGAGCTTGAGCTTGAGCGTGATGAATATAAATCTGAGTATGATTGAGCCAGGGTGCGATGTAGTCTGAGTATGGGTGAGTCTGAGGGAAGCCTGGGGGGGGCGGAAACAGGCAAACCGCCTGAAACACCCCCCTGGTCTGAGCGCGAATCTTGAAGTGCCCCCGCCTTGGGGTGCCCAAGTGCCAAGCCTCCTATATAATTGTGAGCATTCGGAAACAAAAGGACAACAATCTGGGGGGGCAGAAACAGGCCAACCATTTGAGACGTCCCCACAATCTGGATGCGAATCCTGGAGCGTCCTCCCCCCTAGCGGCTCATCCGTGGGGTGCCCCAGTGCCACGTTTGCTGTATCGTTGCGTGCATCGGGCAAAGAAATGAGTCCCCACCCCTTGCGGCCCCCCTTTGAGGTGCCCAAGTGCCACGAGTGTTATATCGCGGTAAGCATTGACCTTCAGAAGAAAAAAAAATGGGGGGCAAAGACAGCTATCCGCCCGAAACGTTTTCGCAAAATGCTCCGACAGCAGAGGATGTTGGGCATGCAAATAAGCAAACCGCTTGAGACATCCCATTCATTGGGGGCGAAGTGCTGAAACCAGCGCCTCGTCTGAGACATCCTGGCCACTTGCTCCAAAAGCAAAGGATGTTTAACATGCGAACAGGCACCGTTTGAGACATCCTCACAGTGTGTGCGCGAGTCTTGGACCTCCCCCACCCCCCTTTGGGAGTGCTACAACCAGCGTTTCGCCTGAGACATCCTCGCACGTTGTTCCGGAGACCAAGGGTGTTGAGCATGCAGGCAGGTATACCGCTTGAGACATAGCATCCCCACAATACGGGCGCGAACGGGTCCGTGAGATACCCCATGTGGCGTTCCCCTTGTGGGCGTGCTGAAACCACACAGTGCCTCGCCTAGGACATCCTCGCAACATGTTCTGAGAACAGAGGATGTTGAGCACGCAAACAAGCATACTGCTTGTGACATCTCCACAAACTGGGCGCGAACGGGCCAGTGAGACACCCCCTCTGGCGTTCCCCTTTGGGGGTGCTGAAACCAACGCCTCGTCGAAGGCATCCTCACAGCCTGAATGCGTGAGAGAAAATGAGCACGAGTGGATCTGAGTGAGGAAGTGATGTGACTGACTGTGCGTCAGGAAGGGTGAGTCTGCGTATGAATGAGTCTGAGTGGTGGGAAAGTCCGAAGACAGTGTCTGAGTATGAGGTGTGATGAGTGACTGTACAAATCGTGTGTGTGTGTGTGCGTGTGTGTGTGTGTTTTGTGTTTGCGCGCGTGGTGAGTGTAAGTGCGTGTGTGTGTGTGTGTGCGAGTGGGTATGAGCACGTTTGCGTGTGAGTTACTCCGAGCGCGAGTGAGTGTGGAGATCTGCGCACATTCCTGTAGGACTGAGTCTTAGTATAAGTGAGCCTGTAAGGGTCTGTTGTTTGATGTGTGAGCCCGAGTGTGGGCGAGTCTGATCATAAGTGGTTTTGAGCATGAGTGAATCTGAATGGGGAACTGGCGTAGCTGAATCAAAGTGAGGAAGAGTGCGTCGGAGCGCGCTTGAGTCTGAGTCTGAGTGAGCCTGAGTATAAGAGAGAGAGAGTCTGAGTATGAGCGTGGCCGAAAAAGAAGAAGAAAGAGGAGGAGGAGGCGGAAGAGGAGAAGGAGTCGATTCGGTTTGCGTAATAGCAGGAAACCCCAGCTTAGAATTTAAGGAGCATACGGGACGGATTAGGGGGCGGGACGACAAGCAAAACAGGGTGCAATCTTGGAAACGGCACACAGAGAAAGGGCGCAGCAATTGCAACATGCTCATGGGCACGCCGGCAACAGAGCGAGTGCGCGTCCGCACGCGTCGTATCCGACAGGGGGGGGGCAAGACAGATAGAAGGGGCGGACGCAAATTGGGGGATCCAGAGCGCGACATCAAAGTGGGAACACAGCAGAAGCAGGTCACGGATGTGCCCGTGCAGCAGTCGATGAAGCATACACACATGTGTTCTTCGAGCGGCTAGGTGACAGCACCGCAGTGTAGGAAGGCGGGGCGCGCTTAGCTCAATTACCACCTGGCGCTGGAGGGTCAGGGTGAAATTTGACGAATACAGAAGACGCGAGACCGCGGATGCAAATTGAAAGTGCCAGTGGGGCCATGCAGGAACCGAAGCGAACGGACCACAAGGCACACGTTCTGCTCGCAAAAAAGGCCAGCGCAGCGTTAACGCAGTCGCCACTGAAGAGCGAACCCAGCAGCTCAGTTACACGTTCCAAAGGGTCGAGCGCGAGGAGCCCACGGCAAATGGCAGAAGCCAGGGGAGGTCGGGACTAAAACCGGGAGACACTTCCACGCGCCCCATCCACTCCCAAGCGCGACGCGGTAACCGCGCGCCCGTCGCCGCCGAAAACGGGAAGCGTGGGCGAAGCGGCCAACAGCCCAGCTGCAAGCGACACGGCACGCGCGTGGAAGCACGAGGCATGGGCGCTCTGCGCGGGGCAGGGCGTCAGTCCCTTCGCCGAGCGAGAGGTCAACTGTCGAGCGAGGGCTCGCCGGCGCGGTCGGCGCGGCAGGCAGCCACGGCCACCAGGGCGCCGGCTGGGCCACTAGGGGGCGAAAGAGCGCGGGGGGGGGAAGGGAAGCGCGACGGGTGTGGATGGGCGTCAGATGGCGAGGCCGGACCCATAGACCCGCCACGGAGCGGCCCCGCAAGGGCACCGCGACCCCGAAAGGGGGACAGATACACCGATGACGCCGGCGCAAACGCCCCCAGCATCCTTTGAGCGAAAAGGCCAGAGAGGAAAATATACCTCTCAGCTCGCAGTGGAGATGTTGCTGCAAGCGTTGAGGTATATGTGGTAGTAAGGAACTCGTGGAGGGATAAGATTCTGATTGTAGCATCAACGATATGCGATGCGAGGTCATCGACTTGTTTGGAGGGACGTCGTAGCGGGAGCGGGCGATGTTGAGCTTATATCGACTACGCGTAGAGGCGACCCTGGGCGAGAGTGACCCTTGGCGCGCGGCTTCAGGGGCGCCCGTGGGTCCGCGGCGCAACCGCGCAAGCCGGCGCTGCCGCGCTGCATCAACGATCGGCGGGGCGCAACCCGAAAGATTTGTTGCGCCAGCGGGCGAGCGCGGAAGTCCGCCGATTCGATTCAAGCGCCCCGAATGGCATCTCGAAGGCGCTGCAAAAGCAGACGCTGCCGGGCCGGCACTGCCGGGCTGCGTCGCGACGACGTCTGGCCAGGCCCGGCGCCATGACCAAAACCGGCCCCATCCGGGAGCCAGGGATATGTTTGAAAGCCTCTGGGTAATTTATAGTTGTACAGATCCCCATTGATTCAAAAAACAGTTTCAGAGACATTCAAAGGCATTCAAAGGCATCCAAAGGTATCCAAATATATCCAGATACAGTCAAGCCAAACTGTTTCGGATTTGGGCTGGAATTCGGGACTGGTCCTGGGCCGGAAAACGCGCCGTCTGGTCGACGGGGCCCCCCCCGGGCAACCGCTGCAAGCTGTAGGGTGCGACGCGTTTGCGTTGATGTCGCTTGCAAGGGGTGGGCCCAAACCTGGCGCGCTCAGATGCGAGCGCAATCGCGCGATGCAGGTGCCGACGCGAGGTCGAGGTCATTCCATCTGAACAAATCACCTGACCCCCTTCGGGCCAGCACCAGAGGTCACTCCGGCGAAAGGTCGCTCTTACGTGTAGTCGCTTATACGAACAGCAGAAGTCACAGTGTGCATTTGGAGCGCGACCCGCCGATAGCTGCGCGAGAACGCCATGTACCACCCTGCCCGGCAAGGCCCAGTTG